CTAAAAATCAATGTATATGCCTGAATTAAAAAGCACTTTATTGCTAAAAAAAATGCTGACAATCATCTGAGGCTTGCGGGAATCATAAGCTTTTTGCAGTGGTAACAGTAAAGACCGCTGAACACAGATCACAATAACAAATATAATAATAATGAAATAATTATGAAATAATGAAAAAACTGGAAATATTACGAGTATCACCAAAACGTAATACACAGAGACATGAATTGAGCAAATGCTGTTGGAAAAATGGTGCCGATAGACTTGCTTAACGCAGGGCTGCCACAAACCTTCAGTTTGTAAAAAAAAAAACCAACAAAACAAACAACAAAAAAGACCTCACAATATCTGCAAAGCACAATAAAATGAGGTATGCCTGTGTTAATTTTTTGTTTCTCTTTTTTCCAAGGGCAGAAAAAAAAACAATGTTTGCATGGCTCTTCTGCTAGGTGCTAGGCATCTGATATACCACCTTCTTTTTTTTTTTTTTTTTTTTTTTTGTGGTACACGAGCCTCTCACTCCTGTGGCCTCTCCCGTTGCGGAGCACAGGCTCCGGACGCGCAGGCTCAGTGGCCATGGCTCACGGGCCCAGCCACTCCGCGGCATGTGGGATCTTCCCTGACCGGGGCACGAACCTGTGTCCCCTGCATCGTCGGGCGGACTCTCAACCACTGTGCCACCAGGGAAGCCCCTGATATACCACCTTCTTGAATCCCCTGGCAATCCTGTCAGGTAGAGATTACTCTTTTTATTTTTTTTTTTGGAGCTTTTTAAAAAAAAATTTATTTTACATTGGAGCACAGTTGATTAGCAATGTTGTGTTAGTTTCAGGTGTACAGCAAAGTGATTCAGTTATTCATATACATGTATCTATTCTTTTTCAAATTCTTTTCACATTTAGGTTAGTACAGAGTATTGAGCAGAGTTCCCTGTGCTATACAGTAGGTCCTTGTTGGCTATCTATTTTAACTATAGTAGTGTGTACATGGCAAGATATTACTCTTATTTCATAGACAAGGAGACCTAAGCCCAGAGAGGTGAAGTCACTTATCTAGGTCCAAGGTAAGAGATGGGATTCAGACCAAGGTTTTTCTGGCTCCACAGTCAGTGCTTCTTTCACCACCATGTGCTCTCTTCTTTCCAAAATGTCTCTCCTAATGTATCTCCAAATTTCCCCTCCGGAACAGTTCAATATTTGTGAATATGTGGCCAGTTGAGCTCTTGTACACCAGAAAAGACAGGAAGAGGAGCTGTCTGAGAGTTGGAGACTCCCTCCCTCCAGACTGCGGCCATTCTCGGGCAAGGACTGATTGACTGATCCCTTTCTCTCCACTCGTAGCTTAATTGCAATGCTTTCCCACTTTATTAGTTTCCAGATTCCGTGCCAAGTGCTTTAAAAGGCAGGTAGGGGAGAATTCTTCTCTGCTCGCTGGCAGCCTGCCATCACCCCCAGAATCTGTTGCTTGCTGTTTCAGAAAGGGATCCACGTTGAAGGCATTTTTCTCAGCCGTGAAATTTACATATCATAACCTTGCTGACTGAAGCAGAAATGAGGGCTCCAGGGGCAGGAGTATGGGCCCGAGTGGGGACAGAGCCTTTGCAGGGGGGAGAGGGAGGGGGAGGGAAGAGCTTATTTTATTACCCGGGAATAAAAACATTGTGAGTAATGAATAAAGTCCGAAAGCAGTAAATCTGGAACTCCAGAGTTACGTGTGTAACGTGTTGGAGAACAATTTAAGCCCTCGCTTCTTCTGCAGAAGCGAGGTATTTGGGCAGCCCGAATTTCATTAAATGGTCTTTTAAGGGTTAGGATTACAAGAAGCCAAACCCGGCTGGTTCATAATGATGATTTATGGCTGTGTTGTCGACTCCCCGACCCTTCTGTACAAGGGGATGGAGAAAATACATAATTTGTTGCTCATTAACTCCAGGATCTGTCAGGGCTGCCCCAGAAGCCATGTGGTCCTGGAGTCATGTGTCTGCTAAATGGCTTCAGCCTGGTCCTGTCCTCGAAAACACGCAGTTGCCATTCTACAGTGGAAATTGTTTTTAATAACAATAGAAATAATAAAATGATCTCGATGTATTTCTTCTGTGTGTCTTTCAACTTGAGAGTCAGAATACCTGGACTCTGCTCTTAACACTGTAAGCTTACTAGCCTCACATCCTTCAGATAAGTCATTATTTCTCAGTGCCTTAGTATTCCCACCTGTAAACTGGGTATATTGTCTTCACAGGTTGCAGATTAAATGAAACTGTAAGTTGCTAAAGAAACATAGAAGATTGCTAGTATTATTAGGGTTGTTATTGGGAATTTGAGGGGCCATCACACATTCTCTTTTTCATCTTCCCACGAGAGGAGGAAGCATTTTAATTAGCAGCTTGCTATTTGTGAGACTGTGGCACTGAAAACTGCAGTTTTAGAATGAAGGGATGTTAGAGCTGAAAACAGTCCTTGAGGTGTAATCAAACCCTTTCTCCCTAAGACGGCTGACGCAGAGAGGCGACTCCCCTGAGATTCATCAATAAAATGATGTAAGAGATGCTGATGTGCAGTGGGAACCCACATGTTCTTTTTCAGCATCAGATAGGAAATCACGCTCAGGCCATGCCGATTTAGAAACAGTTTCTTAATCTGTGGCAGTGGATGGCTCAAGGAACTCGGGAGCAATCCAAGGGCAGGGATCATTCATGGGGCTTTGGTTCTGCTCCTTGCCTGTGGTGTCATCTCCGAGGAAGTACCGTTCCTCTGCTACTAGTTATTACCTTTGTTTGGTTGGGAGGCTACTGGTGGAGGTGGCACAGGAGAGCTGGGAATAAATGTCTTTGCCGTTATGAAGGAATGAATCACGGAGTCTAGTGCCCTCGTTTTGCAAATGGAGAAGCTAACTTATCCCAAGTCACTCAGTGAGTAGGGACTCGAGCCCTGGCCTCTTGACTCCTAGTTTAGTGCTTTCCCCCCCCAGGTCTAACGTCACGTGGGCATGATTTATAAATAAAGAAGAATAAGAAAGAGAGAACATGATGGTGGTAACAAACATCTGGAATGTGTTAGCCTGTAAGGTTACATAGGGTAAAAGTATAAACAGGTTCAAAAGGGGAATTAGACCATGAATGGTAGGAAAGAATGCTGGGTGGAGGGTTAGAACACCTGGGTCTAATCTTTAGATGTGAGTTAATTTGGACCTCAGTTTCTTCCATATATAATGGAGCCTTTCATTTATGACCAGCTAGGCTTCTCAGATTTTAATCTCTGCAGCATGTTGTCAAAGGACTCTTAGTAATGTTTAGATGACATTTCCAATTTTGCAATAAAACAACTGTGAGGACCACCATCCTGCTCCCTTTCATTCATTTGTTCATTCATCGGATCGTCCTGTTCTCCCAGGGAGTGGCTAAGCCAGGATGCCAGACCAGACTGGCCTTTGATCAGCTCTCTCTAATATAGAGTCATATGATCTAGGAAACTCAATATGATCTAGGAAACCAAAGGGTAGCACTTAGAAATATCAAGTATTTATGAACACAGAATCACTGTATAAACGTTAGCGTGCTGGTAGCTGTTGTCACGACTGCACCTGCTCGCCGCGCCCCTGGGCCCAGCTGGAATTTCATGGCCATCCTCCCCCCAGACTTGGGAGCCCTGGACTTGGATCAGATCCCTAGCCTCGACGCCTTCCCCAGCTGTAAAAGAATGACGGGACACTTTGAGAAGGACTGCCCGGATGTGTCAGTCTATTGCTTCCCCTGTGGTTGTGAACATGCTCTCTGTTCCCTGAAAGGGCAAGTGTGGCTCATCAGCCTTCCCCATGAGGAAGTGTGAAAGGGACTTTGTGGTGAGTGGTGAGTTGAACATCGCTGTCCCTGGACTCTGGTTGCATCCAGGAAGTGGCCAGGGCTGTGCCGTGGAGTTAAGACAAGGGCAGCAGACTGTGTGGTGGTGCATCACCAGCGCAGAATAGGTCCTCGGCTGTGTAGGCAGCAGAGGCGTTTTGAGTCAGCTGCCCACCCCCCGTTCTTAATGTAAAACCCGACAGTTTTGGTTAAGGTGCTTTCCCTCCCCCAGCCTCAGTCCACCTCCTGGTGGTCCTGAGGAGTTCATAAAATAAAGTGTATAAAAAATAAATACTGGTATGCAATAGATAATCAATGGTTGGTGGCCCTTTTTTTTTTCTCTTTTAAGTAGTGATATCGCCCCTAAGCATGAAGGAGTGGGCACTGTGGGATGGAGGAAGGGTATGATCTGAAGTGCCTTGTATAAAGTTTCTTGGTTTGTAGGCCAGTGTTCTTTCCATCATGCGCTACTTCTAAAGAGTAAGATGAAAGAATCACTTTCTATGACCCAACAGGGCATTTCCCATCCATGTTACCACCTTTCCGGCAGTAACTGCAGAGATTTAAGTTATTTCAGAAGGACGCCAGGTAGGTGGCAGAGCCTGGATTCAAACCCAGGACTGGGTCTGGGGGCATTCGCCCTTTCCCACAGAAACCTCGGCCGTGGCTCGACACGGCACGGATTGAGGCCCGGTGTAAAGTTACATCATTGTTGGTGATCCTTTACCCCAAATCCCAGAATCCGGAAATGTGCTTAGGCCCTCAGACCACGATCTTGATTCTTCAATAGCTAAGTCATTATTTGTCTCTCTCTTTGTTTTAAAATATATGCGTGTGTGTATAATATATTTTTATATATTATGTATTTTTATATATTATATATTTACATATAAATATATTCGACTGCATATTTTTCTTGTTACAAAAGTACTATATGGCCATGTAGAACTTTTTAAAAAAAGGAAAAAATGACTGTGTTAGCACATTAATCTTTTCTCCTGTGCCTATTTATGTCTGTATACTTCTTAAATAGAGAATTGGGATGTTCTAGATTATAACTTGGAGTTATGTACTGAATATCTCTTAGGTCAGTAAATATCCTTTACAGCCTCACTTTTGTTGCTGGGTCTTGATACTGCCTAACCCCCCACCCATTGTCTTTCAGATCATCACAGGGGAGTTCTACCGCATCTATTACCTGAAGGAGAAGTCCCGGTCCACGATTCAGAATCCCTATGTGGCAGCCCTCTATAAGCAGGTGGGCTGCTTCCTCTTTGGCTGCGCCATAAGCCAGTCCTTCACAGACATTGCCAAAGTCTCCATAGGGCGCCTGCGTCCTCACTTCTTGAGCGTCTGCAACCCTGATTTCAGTCAAATCAACTGCTCCGAGGGCTACATTCAAAACTACAAATGCAGAGGCGACGACAGCAAAGTCCAGGAAGCCAGGTGAGACCCCACCTCCCGTGGCACCGTGTCCATGCCTTTGCTGTAGGCAGTTCAGTGAGCACCTACTTAGTAGGGTACCAAGTTCAGAGCTGGGCCCCGGTTTAGATGGGTGAATAAAGCAGAGTCCATTCGTTCATTCTTTCTTTCTTTGTTTCGTTTATTCACACATTCATGAGTGCCCGCTAGGTTCCGGGCAATCCGCTGCCAAGGATGCAAAAATGAACAAGGCAGTGCTCCTTTCGGGGTCACTGTCTAGGGAGGGAAGATGCACGGACATGTACCGGGGATATGAATACGGCCCTTACACTGCCCTCTCTTGCTCTTTCAGGAGGTCCTTCTTCTCTGGCCACGCCTCCTTCTCCATGTACACCATGCTGTATTTGGTGGTAAGTACTTTGATTCCAGTGGAGTCCAGCCCCAGCTTCAATCCTGTCTGTACAAAGAGCCACCAGAATCGTTAGGGACAGACTTCACTGAGAAATCTTTGAAAAAGAGGTTAGATAGAAGAATTAACTTCTATTCTGAGCTCTGCCACTGAGTTAGCAGAAGCTGTTTCACTCTCCAGACTTTTCCCATGTTTCAAATAAAAATAATATTTACCATGGCTGCTTGATAAGGATTGAGCACCCATTTTGGAATGATTAAGTGATAAAGACACTTGTATAACATTTTATGGTAATAAGCACCGTTTTCTGAAAATCCATGAACTCAGTTGATCCTTTCAGAAGCCTTATGTTATAAGTAATATTATCTCTACTGTGGGAAAGGATTACTCAGTAAGTCTTAGAGAATTAAAGCAAACTGCCAAAGTTTACGTAGACACCAGAACTGTCGCTCAAATCCATGCCTTGTGCTCGAATTCCTCGTAATGTTCTCCATGCCATTCCTCCCCCACCCTCTACTGATGGAAGGGCTTTAAAAATCATTGTGTGACTACAGAGTGATTTTGAGTTTTACAGAATCCTTCTGCATCCCTGAGCACACGTGACCTCATAATAGCACAGTGAAGGAGGAAATCCTTGGCCCCACTGCTCAGATCCAGAGACCAAGGCCCAGAGAGGATCAGTAGTGTGTTGGAGGACCTTCAGATAGTGGTAGAGCCATGGTCTGAGGTCCCCTGTTGGCCTCGCCATGCCATGCTTCCTGGAGATGCCGGGATGGTGCAGGTGAAGCGCCTTGCTCCCCTCCAGCTGCCACACAGACAGACAGCTGCTGGTCTGTTTCTCTTTGTCAATTAAATATGGTCCCACTGCCGTTCCTTTCCCCTTGAATGAGGTCCGTGTGCCAAAGCACTTCCTGCTTTTGGCTGCTTTGATGGAGTTCAGAGCGAGAAGGCGCTGAAAGGTCAGATGTAGCTCAGAGGAGCATAAGCTGTTTGGAAAAAGAACATTTTGATTTCAACTTATTTAAAAAGCATAATTAGGAGTTGGAAAAACAGCAGAGAGGTTTTCTTTGTTTTGTTTTGTTTGTTCCCCCAATCCTTTCCAAGTCTGGAGGCCTCCAGGCTTCCTGTTACCTAGGATACAGAGCTAAGAGGTAGGCCCCGACCTCTAAAAACATTAAATGTGGATTTTAAAAATTCATGGAGAGCACTTCCCACCATTCTTCATTTTTTGTTGTTGTTGTTTTAGTTTTTGCTTTGCTCTTAGGAAGGACAATTTAGCAGCAATATTTTGTTTCCTGTTCCATTTATATTTTACCCAGGGCTGGAAGCAATTTTACAAAATATAATTCAGTGTTTTGTAAAGTAAAAGTGCTGACAGGTTTCTGGTACCTTCTAGGTGCCAGGCACTGTGTCTCACTCAAGCTATACCTTTCGATTCTCTCAATAACTCGGTGAGATGTGTTTTTTTCTTTGTTTTTTTTGGCGGTATGTGGGCCTCTCACTGTTGTGGCCTCTCCCGTTGCGGAGCACAGGCTCCGGACGCGCAGGCTCAGCGGCCATGGCTCACGGGCCCAGCTGCTCCGCGGCATGTGGGATCTTCCCAGACCGGGGCACGAACCCGTGTCCCCTGCATCGGCAGGCGGACTCTCAACCACTGCGCCACCAGGGAAGCCCATGAGATGTGTTTTGATTACACTGCTTTCAGTTTCAAACAAACAAACAAACCTGAATCTAACAGGTAGCTGAAGCCTGGTCCTCATGACCCCAGCATCGTTGTATGTTCTTTTCATTGTGCTGCACGACAAAAAATAAGGCCAAACAAACCTCTGCAGGATAAACTTACAGAATATAAGCTCCAACCCTAATTTCGATGTCGCTTGAAGGTGACCTGCCTTTCTTCAGATCTGCTTTAATGGGTGAGATGCCCCCCTACCCCCAGCACCCATCACCTCCTGGAAGCTATGATTATAGCAAGAGCTCTCTGTGGGGGTGATGGGTGAGGAGTAGATTGTGATTGAATGTTTATTTGCATCTTTGAGGGAGGAAAAAATTATAGTGCCTTTATATTCCAGGAAGGAAGGAAGGGAGGGAGGGAGGGAAGGACGAAAGAAGAAGAAAGAAGACAGCCTCCTTAATCCTTCATCTCTGAAGCATATTTTTACACACACTCCCCCATGCACACACCGCACACTCTTCAGAGCTCTTGCAAACATACACACATTCACAACTCGCAGACACCCACATATACAACGTACAAACACAGGGCTCTCCTTTTAGCTCTAAGATTATCTTGTCTTAAAACAACCTCTGCAGGTAAGGGCTAAGAAGTAAGGAGGACAGTGCCCTTCACCAGGGCTCCTTTTTATGTGATATTACACAGAAATCTCAACTCTTTGAAAGTCCAATTTGCAAAGCTTTCTAAAGGAATTTTGAAGAACACCGTTGCCTCCTGTCTGGGGAAGTGGGAAATCCTGCAGTCCATCAGAGAGGCCCCTAGACTCCTCCCACAGGGCTTTTATATTGGGCTGCAGGAAGTGCCGGAGCTGCACTCGGCCTCCCACAGAGCCCCGTGGGCTTTTATGAAGGCAGCCTGTGATCCACAGCTTCTCTGGAGCCTTGGGAAGAAGCCCGTTTGAACCGGCTGGGCATGGCATTGACAGTGTTTGCCTTTAGAGTTGGACAGACCTGGGTGACTCTGGCCATGCCAATTACTAGCTGTGGAACTGGGAGTTGATTACTTAGGTTTTCGAACCTCAGTATACTCATCTGTCAAGGGGAGACAATTGTGTCTGTTTTTGCAGAGTTGTTGCCACTTTTCTTCTCTAGGCCCTGCTTTCCCCATCCGTCAAATGTAAGAGTGGAATTAGAAGGTGTCTTCTGATTCTCAATCTCTGTGGTTCTATTTAAAAGCAGTTGGGACCACGTGCTGAAAGAGAAGATGGGAGGCACTCAGAGACAGTTTTGCCCAGATTCCCATGGAGTTCAGAGAGTGGCGGACCAGAAGCGCCAGCCATCCCTTCGCCAGGCCTTTCAGTGCCAGCCACCGTCTAGAGCCTCCCGTGGCTTTGGGGGGCGCTCCATATTAGGTTTTGATTTGTAAAATGGATAGCTTGGAAAAACCATGCTCCAAACACCAAATTATCTCTGGGCATGGAAGCTTAAGGATGAGGTTAAGGCCTGTCAGAGATTAATGCAAATTCTAATCAGAGAAATCTCGCAGCCTATATAAACATAAACGGTGCTTCCTACCCTTGAGCCCTGGTCTAAACTCCAGAGGACCACATCTGGTTTGGCCCCACGCCTCCATGGTCAGGGATTGAGGATGGCCTGGCTGTCTGGATAAAGTGGCAACACAGGAGCCAGGCACCAATTCACATAGCACACCTGGAGTTACCTCTGTTGTACCAGGCAGGCTGCTGCCTTCTGGGGCTGCTAGATGAATCAGACCTGGGCCCTGCCCTCAAGGAACTCACCTATGCTTTCAACATTCATCATTCAGCATGTATTTAGTGAGTGGCTATTATGCACCAAGCCCCATGCCAGGGGTGGGGATATAGCGATGGGCAAGGCATGGGCATGGCCCTTGGGGAGTTCAGTCTAGAGGAACAGGTGGACAGTGACGATAGTCTTGTCCATGCTACAGGAGGGCCCGGGGTGTATAGGCTATTATGGAAGCTCAGAATTGTGGCACCCTGGCTAAGCTGGAGTGGGGAGCAGAAGCCGGGGAAGGCTTCTCTTAGGTAGTCACGGGATGGTGGGAGGGTTGGAAGGACTGCCAGGTGCACAGGTGGAAAGGAGGATGGTGATGCGGGATCTGCAGGTGTTCAGTTGAGTAGGGCTTTGATGGCTGGTAGGAAGCAGGGCGTGGAGGGTGCAGTGAGAGCTGGGAAGACCCTGGGGGCCGTCAGCCCCAGCTCCTCCTTCTGCAGCTCAGATTAGGCAGCAGCAAGTTCGAGTGAGGCCTTTCTCGGACTGCCGAGCTCCTCTCCTGGGAATCTGCGCCTTGCCCCTCCCCTTCCTCAGGACACTTTGTCAGAGAAGCCTTTCCTGGAAGCCCCCTCCTATACTCCCTAACTCCCTTTGCAGCCTTATTTTTTCCCCCAATTTCTCACCATCTGACATACTCTTTGTGTATCTCCACCAGATAAATTATAAGCTTCATGAAGGAGAGGTTTTTGGTCTCTTGATTCACGGCTGTTTCTCACTTCCCAGTGTCTGATACTTAAGTATGCAATGAATGATGAACGAATGAACGGATGGATGGGTGATGGATGGATGGATGGATGGATGAATCCCGCGTCTTTTGACACTCCCAGGCCGTGCTCCTTTTCCATTCCAATCAGAACTTTGTTCATCTCCTCATCACTGACTTGATAGATCACAGAGGGCCTGTGTGATGTAGGGAAGGCCTTTGCTGCCTCTTTGCTGAACTGTTTACCTTTGGACTCTTCACTGTGGTGCCCGTGAATGCTGTGGATGTGTCAGAGGCTTTGTTGGGTACCAGGGAAGTGGCTGTGCTCTGATAGCCATGTTCTCTGGCCTCTGGTTGTTAGTCATTGAGCTTTTGTTCAACATGTTTAGAATCCTGGAGCAGTGGGGTCTGGTATGCCCACGACACGTGCCCACAGATCCTGGGAGTGTCTGGTGAAACCCCTTCCGGGAACAAGATTGTTGTTTCCAAGGGGGGATAAACCACAGCACCAGATGTTTTTCCTCTTCTTCCTGCCTGCCTCATCCATCCATCCATCCATCCATCCAGCAGTTTCTGAGTACCTATTCTGTGCCAGACCTTGTGTGAGCACCTGGGGACACCAAAAGAGGTCACATTTTGTGAGGAAAGCCTGAAAAATATTTAAATAGTTGCAAAGCAGTTGGCTAAGTTCTCTGATAGTGGTGGACTGAGGGATTGGAGCCCAGAGGAAAGGACTATTGTTAACTCTGCTCTGAGTCAGTTTACAGGCTCTCCTGAGCTTAAGATCAGGTCAGAGACTCTTCTATTCT